CCGCTGCTGGCTGCCGACAAACTGCGGGAGCTGACACCTCCCGGAGCTGAGGAACACAGCAAGGAGCGGCAGCAGCACGGGCTGCCGCTGAGGATCGCCGCTGTGACCCTGGACTGCCACTCTCACCACATTTGCATGAGCGCAAACGAGTTCTCTGAGGCTTTCCCTGCTGTGGTTTCTGTCTGTTATTTCTTCTCCACAAACATTCAAAGTGGCAAAAGCTGAAAAAAAAAAATAACGCTTGCAAATAAATGTCTGTGCAAATCCATTCTAAAACCCCTTTAAAATGTAAATCCTTCAGCTCGAGCAGTGCTGGGCACGGGAAGCCTTCGGTGCTGGGGGAAGCAGCGAGGCTGGATGGCAGCAGGGAGGAGGGGGGGTCTGCTCCCCTCACCCGGGGGTCCCCAGGGGACACCTCTGTGCCAGCTCCTCTCCAGGGAGCCCCAGTGGGTGGCCGATGCCAGTGAGAGGAAATGAAAGATCAGTGGAGCGAGCAGGAGAAGTGGGGTGGAACGGAGAAAACGCCTGTTCCCACATTTCCCTCCCACCAGCCTTGCTCCCGGGCCGTCCCCGCTGTGCCGCAGGGAGCAGCTGTGGCACCGACGGGGCCCGGGCAGCACAGAGCCGGGAGTGTGCCCACTGCCCCGGGAAACACCGCCAGGCCGCTGGCAGGTCTGTGCCGCAGGGAGCAGCGGTGGCACCGACGGGCCCGGGCAGCACTGAGCCGGGAGTGTGCCCACTGCCCCGGGAAACACCGCCAGGCCGCTGGCAGGAGGCCCTGGAGCTTTGCACCTGGTGGGGAGGCTCCTCGTGGCCCTTTGCACAGCCTGAGGGGCTGGGGGAGCACGGCAGGCACCGGGCTGGGGCACTGCACCGCGGGCAGGGAGGTGGCACTATGCTGGGGACACGGAGCAGTGCTGGGGACACGGAGCAATGCTGGGGACACGGAGCAGTGCTGGGGACACAGTGCACTGCTGGGGGACACAGGGAATGCTGGGGACACGGAGCAGTGAGCAGGGCTGGGGACACAGGGCAGTGCTGGGGACACATGGCACTGCTGGGGACACGGGGCAATGCTGGGGGACACAGGGCACTGCTGGGGACACGGAGCAGTGCTAGGGACATGGAGCAGTGCTGGGGACACGGGGCACTGCTGGGGACACGGGACAATGCTGAGGGATGCAGGGCAATGCTGGGGACACGGGGCACTGCTGGGGACACTGGGCAATGCTGGGACATGGCACTGCTGGGGACATGGAGCAGTGCTGGGGACACGGAGCAGTGCTGGGGACACGGGGCAATGCTGAGGACACATGGCACTGCTGGGGACACGGGGCAGTGCTGGGGACATGAAGCAGTGCTGGGGACACGGAGCACTGCTGGGGACACGGAGCAATGCTGGGGACACGGAGCAGTGCTGGGGACACAGAGCACTGCTGGGGACATGGAGCAGTGCTGGGGACATGGAGCAGTGCTGGGGACACGGGGCAGTGCTGGGGGATTTGGCACTGGAGCAAGGGACACGGCACAGCAGCGAGGGACGCGGCACGGTGTCGAGGGCCATGGCACACCCCTGGGGGATGCTGCCCAGCCTCGGGGCCCCATCCCAGCCCCGCGGGCACAGCCGAGCCGGGCGGGCCGGAGCCCATCCCCACCCTGCCTGCAGCGGCCGGCGGCGGCGCGGCTGCCGCAGCTTCCCCAGAATTCCATCCCCACTCCCACTCCCGCATCGCCTCGCTCCCAGCTCCTACATGCAGCTGCCAGCTCACGCGCAGAGCTGGCTCCGCACGTCATCGCCACCTCCGCTGTCCCCCGGGTGTGCCCACGCAGCCACCCAGCCCCGGAGCACCCTTGGGAGCCCCCCGGCACCGGCAGCGGGCGCGGGCCGGGAGCTGCCGGGGCTGGTGCAGCAGCAGAGATGAGCTCGGCGCTCGCCCTCTGCAGCCGCTGCGGGTCTGCCTGATGGGCAGCATGAGCTGAAAGGATTCGTTCACCTCTTTCTTTCAGTTTCAGGCTGTGATTTCTCCAGCTGCAGAAGAGCTTTGGAGCTGAGCAACAGGAGAATTCCCAGATGCCCTCACGGGGCACGTTTTAATAGTGTCCATCCATCCGAATCCCCCAGCCCCGCTCCTGGCACCCCTCACGGTGCTGCCTTTGCTTTTGCTGTTTTAGCACCAGGCTTTGGGGGAACACACTGCAAACCCCTCCAATCCTGCTGAAGGGAGGATGAGGAAGGGAAAACGGTGGGAGCTGACCCTTCCCCAGACTGTGGGTGAGGGCTGGTGAGCAGCAGGCACAGGGAAGAGCTGGGTGTTCTTCTGCAGCATCCTGATTGTTCTCCCTGTGTTCCCAAAGTGCTGGCACCGGGCACAGCTGGTGGCACCTGGGCCAGCATGTGCCTGGTGTCTGTGCAGCCTTTGGCATCTCTCCCAAGTGCCCTGAGCTCATCCCAGCTTGCCATCACGCAGGGGCTGAGTGCTGGTGCCTCTCCAGCCCCTCATCTCAGCCATGCCCACCCTGTGACTGCCCGTGGCAGCAGGATCCTGCACCCCTCCTTTCCTGAGTGCCACCCCCACCCCTACGGGAGCCTGTCCATCCCAACAGGCACCAGGACCTGGGAAACCCCGGGCAACATCCCAGCAGATCCATGTGCTGATAAAAACACGGTGCAGACCCATGTCCAGGCATGATGCAAATTTAATTGAATGGGAATGAGATGTATTTTATGTCCTTAAAGCACATTAAGTGCTTGGAAGTTAATTGGTATTTAATTAGCATAAATCAAGCACTTTAATAGTACTCAAGGAAAAACAACGTGGTGTTACAGATGCTTTATCAAGAGTCACCCTGACAAACGAAAGATGAATGTGCCCGACACAGCAGCACACGAGGCCGAGCACGGGCTGTCCCCCTGCTGTCCCCCTGCTGTCCCTTGCACCCGGGCACCGCAGGCAGGGGCACCACTGCCCTGGAGGGACCTGCTGAGCCCCCTGCCCTGCACCTCCGGGGAGAGGTGCCTTGAAACCGGGGTGCAGCAGGGAGATGGGGGCTGGGAGGATCTGGGATGCAGGAGGGATTTGGGGTACAGGATGGATTTGGGGTGCAGGGCTCCGGGATGCAGGATGGATTTGGGGTGCAGGATGGATTTGGGGTGCAGGGCTCCGGGATGCAGGATGGATTTGGGGTGCAGGGTTCCGGGATGCAGGATGGATTTGGGGTGCAGGGCTCCGGGATGTAGGATGGATTTGGGGTGCAGGATGGATTTGGGGTGCAGGGCTCCGGGATGCCGGCAGTACCCGCTGTGCAGGAGGCTGCCCGCTGCAGAGGCAGCAGCAGCCAAGCGCGTTTCCTGCGGGCCCGAGCATCCTCTCGAAAGGGGAAGGTGGGAGCCCCGGAGGCCCCAGCCCCGCTCCCACCGGGCGCTGTGCCCGAGCAGGGCGGGGACACGCTGGGGTCCCCACAGCAGCCGCTCCCCACGGGCTCCCTTCGGGCAGGAAGCAGCCATTCTGCTCCGTGTTTGGTTCGGCATTTTTGTGGCGTTGCCATGACAACCGTCCCGGTGACATCTTCATGCTATTTGTCTCCTTCTGGGGGTTGCACCATTTTCCTCCATGAATGAGCAGCTGCCGGGCTCCCGGCTCACCTGGAGCCCCCGGAGCTCTCGGCTCCTGCCCAGCCCCGAGCCGGGGATGCTCCATTCCCCCTCTCCAGCACCTCTGCAGCGTTGTCCTTCCCTAAAAACACATCTCTGTGCGTGCCTGTGCCCTGTGTGGTTCACCTCCCGGCACGGCAAAGTAGAAAACAAGCCGAAAATAGAGAGGTGACATTGGCAGCGCCCTGCCAGCCCCACGGGGACAGCTGGGAAGTGCCGTGGCACAGCGACTGTCAGAGCCAGCAGTGCGATCGGGAGGAGGCAGCTGCCCTGCCCGGGGCTGTCCAGACCCGCTCTGCCGGAGGGGGAACAGCCCGGAGCGAGCCCCGGCTGCAGCCCGGCCCTTCCCCACTCCTGCCTCCCGCTGCCTCCCAGCCCCGTCCCTGCCCTGGTGCCCTGGGTTTGGGCAGGGTGGGCAGCCCGGCGGGTGGGCACAGCTCTCCCAGGACGACCCCTGCCCCAGGGCACCTCCGAGCCACGCTGGGGGCTGGGAAATCAACAGGCATTTCCCAAGTTATCATTTCCCAAAATCCGGAGTGACCTAGCCCAGGGAACACGAGGGGCTCCTGTCTGGGGCTGGGGGTGCTCGCAGTGACACCCGTGTGCCAGGGCAGCCCCCCGGGCGGGGCACGGTCCCCACGAACCCCCCCAGGGGAGGCTGGAGGCCGCAGGATGAGTCAGGGCAGCGCTGCCGGAGGGGACGGATGCCCGGCTGACGCAAAGCTGCTGCGCTGGCTCCTCTCCCCCTGCCCACACAGCTCCATCCTCCCCTTCCGCTGACTCTCCTGCCTCTGGCGGCGCCCCCTCTGCCGAGCAGCCCCCTGCGCCCCCGGCCCGCAGCACTGCTCCCCTGGCAGGGCAGGGATGGCCACCCTGGCAGCTGGCTGAGCGCCTCACCCCGTGTCCTCCTGCTGCCCAGAGAGGCCAGCGACAGGGCTGTCCCCAGAGCCCCCTTCTGTCACCCGCTGCGGCAGGAGCTGCTCGGCATCATCCCGGCCGGTGTCAGTGGGGGCGGTGGTGCCCACCCAGCGGGCACAGGGCTCCCTGGCCCTGCGGGTGCCCGGGCACAGCTCTGGGGGTCAGACAGGGCGCAGGGGCAGTGCCAGAGCAGCCGGGGGCACCACGGACCCGGTGCTGTCACAGGGTGCTCCCGGTGAGCCGGTGCCACGGCAGGGCTGGCAGAGCCAGGTTTCCATGCTCCCCCAGCAGCACAGGAAGCGTGGCTGGCCCGCGGGTGCCAGGGAGGTGCCGAGGGGGCAGGATGAAGGGAAGGAGCAGGGGCAGGGGGTTCCATGGCAGCTGGGCTGGGCTGCACCCCCTGCTCACGGGTGGGGCTCTGAGCCCGCTGTCATTTCAGGAGCAGGCGGGTGGCCTGGTCACCCATCAGGAGCCTTTGGGGAGGAACAAGAGACAGAAATGCTGGATCAGCCTTTCTGCCACGGCAAGGGTACAACAAGGACACGGGGACAGCACTGGCCCAGCAGCAGCCGGAGGCTGATTCACCACACAAGGCATGTGGGGACACAGGCTGGGCCTTTGCTGTCACCCTGTCCTCTTGGGAAGGAAAAGGGAAAGGACTCTCCAGCCCTCGGACACCCCTCTGGAAAAGCCCCTGCTGGGAGCCTTGCCTGACAGAAGAGGCAGCAGCACGGGGGCAAAGGCAGGGTCAGCCTGCAGGGTGCCAGTCCCAGTGGCACTCTGCTGTCACGTACCTCACCAGGGCCCCGACGAGGAGCGCGGCCACCATGGGCCCCACCCAGTACACCCAGTGGTAGTCCCAGCAGTTGGCCACCAGAGCTGGCCCGAAGGCTCGGGCTGGGTTCATGCAGGCTCCGGACACGCCGCCCCTGCGAGGGGAACACGGTGGCTGTGCCATCCCAGTGGGACACGGGAGCAGCGCCCTCCCCTCACTGCTGGACGGGGCGGTGAGTGGGGTGGGCAGCAGCATCCCCCCTCGTGGGGCTCTTCCCGGGGCTCTGGTGGGCACCGGGCTCGGGCCAAGGGAGCCAGGCTTTGCTCGGGAAGGCTGCACACCACACCCGGGAGCAGGGCGGCAGCAATCACAGCTTTAGGGGTAAATATTTGCCGAGGGGTTTGTGTAAACACGGCCCGGGGTCCTGCCAGAGTGGGTGGGCGTTGCCTTAACCCAGCACTCCATTAACATTGCTAATTGCTGAGCCTGGCAGTGCTGCCAGCAGCCGCGGGGACCCGAGGGACACAAACCCCCCTGTTTGCTCAGGGCTTCCCACGGCAAACACAGCCCGGGCAGGCCCGGGGTTTATCGCCCACCGCGGGGCTCGGGGGCTGCACCGGCTGCGGTGCCACGTGCAGGGAGGAGCCGAGGCTGCTCCTGCTCCAGGCTGAGCCCGGGCTGCTCCTGCCCCCAGCCCATCAGCTCTCCCGAACTGCCAGAGCGCCCACTGGGCTCATTTGATGGCCTCTCTGGTGTGCTCCGTGTCCCTGGGCACAGGGTCCGTGCTGTGCTGCAGGAGGGCAGCTCCGTCCCATTGTCCCACCCCACTGTCCCATCCCATCCCATTTTCCCATCCCATTGTCCCATCCCATCCCATCCCATCCCATTGTCCCATCCCATTGTCCCATCCCATTGTCCCATCCCATTGTCCCATCCCATCCCATTTTCCCACCCCATTGTCCCATCCCATTGATCCCATTGTCCCATCCCATCCCATCCCATCCCATCCCATCCCATTGTCCCACCCCATCCTACCCCATCCCATCCCATCCCAGCTCTGTCTCCTCCCTGGTGCAGCAGGTCGGGGTGGGATTTGGGGTGCCCCGATGGAGGGTTCTAGAGCTGCCCCCAGCTCCACCCCACAGCCCAGGGTCCCTCCTGAGCCCCACAGCCATGGCGCCGGGTGGCTCTGTGGGGACAGAGGGGACAGAGGGGACACTGAGCTCACCCTGCCAGGATGTCGGCGGTGACGGCGAGGCCGATGCAGAGCGGGGCCAGCGGGGTGCTGGTCCTGCCATTGACGGTTCCCATGCAGACCACCAGGAGCAGGAAGGAGCTCAGGACGATCTCAGCCCCCAGGACAGCGGGGACCTGCTCGCCAGCCGTGATGCCAACGAAGGCTGCTCCGCTGGCATTGCCAAAGTGCTCGCTCGGTGCCACAGCCTGCGGGGACAGCCATCAGTGCCCACAGCCTGTGGGGACAGCCATCAGTGCCCACAGCCTGCGGGGACAGCCACCAGTGCCCACAGCCTGCGGGGACAGCCATCGGTGCCCACCGTGCTCCTGGCTGTGCCCAGTCCCAGGGATGGGCTCACTGTTCAGTGCTCGCTGTGCAGTGCCCAGGCTGTGCCCTGTGCCAGCAATGGGCTCACTGTTCAGTGCCCACTGTTCAGTGCCCAGGTTGTGCCCAGACCCAGCAATGGGATCGCTGTGCAGTGCCCAGGCTGTGCCCTGTGCCAGCAGATGGGCTCACTGTTAAGTGCCCAGGCTGTGCCCTGTGCCAGCAGATGGGCTCACTGTCGGGGCAGCGTGGGCAGCGTGGGTGAGTTAAAGAGGAGCTAAATTGGGCATTTGCGGGAGGAAAAGCAGCCTGAGCGCCTGGCAAGCACAGACCCATCTGAGAGGGCCCCGGGCACCTCGGAGGGCACCGGGCACCTCGGAGGGCACCGCTCCCGGCAGGGTGACACAGGCTGCCCCAGAAGGCACAGCCCTGGGCAGGCCAGGCTGCAGGGACAGTCCCCGTGCCCCGGGACACCCCAGCTCCGTACCTTTGCCAGGCCGGCTCCGATCGCCCCTCCGCAGAGCTGGGACAGCCAGTAGGGGATGAGCATGGTGGTGGGGAGCCCCCCGAGCAGCCACACGGCCAGGGACACGGCGGGGTTCAGGTGGCCTCCGCTGCCGGGAGAGAGGGGCGTCAGCGGGGCCTGGAACAACCGCGGCTTTCCCGGCTTGTCCAGGGAGCAGGATCCGGCTGTGTCCCCTCCCTGGGCACATGGCCCCTGCTGAGGGACAGGACCTGGGGATGTGTCACTGGATCCAATCTGTCCTCTCTGCTGCAGCACTGGCAGGGACAGAGGGACAGGACCTGGGGATGTGTCACTGGATCCAGCTGTGTCCTCTGCTGCAGCACTGGCAGGGACAGAGGGACAGGGTCTGGGGATGTGTCACTGCTCCCAGCAGCTGCTGCAGCCCTGCCAGGGCTGCTGTGGGCAGCAGGGGCCTGGCAGAGCTGCAGGAATGCAGTGCTGGGGCTGGCACCAGCCTGGCAGGTGCTCCCAGCAGCTGCTGCAGCACTGCCAGGGCTGCTGTGGGCAGCAGGAGCCTGGCAGAGCTGCAGGAATGCAGTGCTGGGGCTGGCACCAGCCTGGCAGGACACAGCTCCCCCAGAGCAGGGCTGCTGGGCTGGCCCTCAGCACCAGACCTAAATCCTTCACCTCAAAAAGCACAAGCAAGTCAGACACAGAGACCCTCTAATTAATTCTGATTACCATGAGACACAGGTTAATGAACAGGTTTCATAACTGATCAGCCTGATAATTGCCGGTGATGAGTCAGAGAGTCTGGGAGCCACAAGCACATCTGATGCTCAGCTGGGACTGAGCCCCCAGGAGAGCAGGGAGCTGCTCAGGGGTGCCTGGGCTGGACAGGGCTGCACTGCCAGCTCCTGGGCAGGGAGGGAGCCTGGGATCAGGGGGGACACAAACCCCCCTGGGGGAGCAGCCTGGCTGGGGAGGAGAGCAGGGCTCCTCTCCAGCCTCCCTGGGCTCAGTCCTTCAAGGCTCAGTCGTTCCCAAGGCTCAATCCTTCCCTGGGCAGGCCCTGGCACAGGTGCCCAGAGCAGCTGTGCCTTTCCCTGGATCCCTGGCAGTGCCCAGGCCAGGCTGGACAGGGCTTGGGTCAGCCTGGGGCAGTGGAAGGTGTCCCTGCCATGGCAGGGTGGAATTTGGTGGGATTTAAGGTCCTCTCTAATCCCAAGCATTTCAGGATTCAGTGTGAACATGCAGCCCCTCACCACGAAGCCCCCCAGTGCTGCTGCCCTGTTTCACCACACCAGGGTTGGGGTGCAGCAGGACCTGGCACCGTGGGTCAGGAGTCCCCCCTGCACAAAGCCCAGCCTGGGCTGTTCTCCCTCCTGCAGGCACTGATGAATTATCTCCCCATTGCTCTGGACTCCAGGGCTGGCCCCTGATCCTGCCCAGCCACCCAGGACAGCCTGGAGAGCCCCAGCCCCTGTGGGAAGGCAATGAAACTCCCCAGGGACCCTTCCAGCATCTTCCTTGGAGATCAATCTATATCTCAGCTCCACACAACAGCTATTCCATGAGCAGATTTGTCTAAATGTTGCTTTTGAGTAACTGAAACGAATTTTTTTTTTTTTTTTTTAGCCTGAAAATACCCAGAGGAGGAGCACAGCTGGGTCAAAACGTTTTGCTCTGACATCCTTGTGAAAGGAATCATCTCAGCTTCACAGAGAATCACAAAACCATAGAACGGTTGGGGCTGGAAGGGCCCTTAAATATCTCCTAGCTCCAACTCCCAGAGGAGAATGTTCCCGTTTCAGCTTCACCCTTTTTATTAAAGGGGCTAAAACCTGAAAGGCTGCAATCCAAAGCCAGGTGAAGAGCCCCAAACCCACGGAGTTATGGGTGCCACCAGCGATGCCACCACCCCCCAATGGGCCCCGTGCCCCCCGGGGGCTCCTTGGCAAGGCAGGGGTGCAGAGGGCAGAGGGTTTGGGCAGGGAAGGCAGCGCCGGGGGCACCTCCCCTGCCCCTTACCTGATGTCCCCCAGCACGGCCACGGTGACAGCCAGGGCCAGCCCGTGTGCCAGGGCGGGCTGCAGGTGGCCCGTGCCCCCCGGCTCCTCCAGCACGGCCAGGCAGCCGATGAAGATGAAGAGGGCACTGCCCAGCAGCTCGGCCACGCAGGGCTGCACGTGGCGCTCGAAGCGGCGCGGCCGCGGCGCCGAGGGCTTGGCCTCCATGTCCAGCCTGTCCTGGATGGCACGGCTGGGCACGGCTGGGCACGGCTGGGGAGGCTGGGGAGGCTGGGGAGGCTGGAGGCAGAGCCTGGCTGTGCTGGCTCTCAGCAGGGACGAGCACCCCGAGGCTGCCGGGCTCCCCCCGACTGTCTGAGAGGCAGCTCTGCACGGCAGGCTCTAAATACAGATTGGATTTGCATTGCTAAGGAAAAAAAAAGGGGTCATAAAAGCTGTTGGGCCGGCCCCCAGGGATATCAAAGCTCGTTATCACTGCCAAGCCTTGGTTCAAGGCTTGGGGATTTTTCCCTCGGTTTTCTGTTGATGGGAGTGAGGGGGTCCTGCCAAGGGTCAGGGTGTGGTTCCTGCCCTGCTCACCTGGAGTGTGGCACCTGTGCTCAGCCCTGGGGCCTCTGTGCCTGTAGGAGCCACCAAGGGGCAGCAGCCTGGGAATGTGTCCCACACTGCTCCAGGTGGGAAGGGAGCTCTAGGAAACCGGGCCATGCAGTGCCACCCCTGCCCTGGGCAGGGCACCTCCCACCATCCCCATCCATGGGACACTGCCAGGCATCCAGGGCAGCCACAGCTGCTCTGGGCACCCCGTGCCAGGGCTGCCCACCCTGTGAGTGGAGACCATCAGTGAAAATTCCTCTAAAGCTCAGCCCACCTCCTGCCCGGGATTCCAAGGCTGGGGGTTCATGTCCCCCTTGCACTGCTCTCAAATAAAGATGAGGGCAAAGGTGCCAAGGGATCCACCAGCCACTGCAAAAGCTGGCACTGATCAAACACTGATTAAACCCTCCCTAAATCTTCCTCATCCCAGCGGGATCACTGCCTGGAACAGCAGATCCAGCCAGGGCAGGGGGAGCAGGGGGGACCCCCAGGCACCAGCAGCCCACAGCTCCCAGCAGGACAAGGCTTCCACTGGGAGAGCTTTGAGCTGGGGCTGGAGGGATCCAGATGTGGCTGATCTTTGGAGCACTGACTGAGAGGGATCAGTGTGACCCCTCCCCAGTGATGGGCACGGCCCGGGTGATCCCGGGGCAGCTCCTGGGAGCAGCAGGAATGTGCCCAGGATGGAGGCAGGGTCCAGCCCAGCCCTGCAGGGAGCCTTGAGCAGCCTCCTGCAGCCCCGTGTTTGTGTGGCTGCCTGAGCACTGGGGCTTCCAGGAGCTCTTCTCTCCTGTCAGCAGGGTAAAGAACGCCACCGTGGTTTATGGTGTTGTCACAAGGCACTGGGGATGGGAAGGAAATTTCCACTGGCCTGTCCCTGTGGCCACACCACAGACAAGGGTCAGGCAGGAGAATCCCAGTAAAGGCACCTCTAAATGAGCCTCCATCGACCCATTTCCCCTCCCAAGAGCTTGCTTCCTGCAGCCAAGAGGTCTTGGCATCAGCTGATGGATACAGCTGGGATGTGGAGGGTGACAGCTGGGTCTGCCTGGACCCCCATGGACCCCAGACCTGTGGGACAGGGAAATACCTGATCAACCCCATCAGCTCACAGGGCACCCCAGCTTCCAGCAGGTCCATGGAACCCATCTGTCACCTCAGCTCCCAGCACGACCAGCTCCTTTGGCAAGAAACTGAACTTGGGCAGAAGGAATCCAGATTTCATTTATTTTTGGGGTGCTTATCATGAGAGATCAATGTAACACATATCAATGTAACACATATCCAGATTTCAGCTGCTCCTTCCTTGCAGCAGCTTCCACGGTGCCAGGCAGGCACTGCCAGGAGCTGGGCTGTCCCAGACCCCAGATCCCAGACCCCAGACCCCATATCCCAGACCCCATATCCCAGACCCCAGATCCCAGACCCCAGACCCCACAGCCCAGAGCCCCAGCAGCATGGGTGAGCCCCAGGAGCCCCAGGACAGCTCCCTGGCCAGGGAACACGCAGCCAGGTGGCCGACCCAGGGTGCTGCTGGGTGCTCCTGGCACAGGAGATGCCCTGGGTGGTGCCACCGTGCCCATGCTCTGTCTCCCACTCCACTGGTGGCTTCAGAGCACGGCAAGGTCACAGCCCAAACGCAAGGATTAACCCCCTGTCCTTGGCTTTTAAACATTTACCACTCCTGAGGGAGCGGGGATGTTTGCCTGAGCCTTGCGGAGGAAATGCTCCACATTCAGGCAACAAAGGCTTCAATTCCTGCTGAGCACAGGCCTGAAACTGGAGAGAACAAAAGCACAGCCTTGAGGGAAGGGTTTCCCTTCGGTGGGAGCTTCAGCCTCAGCACCTGCCTGGTGCTCAGAGGTGCCACCAACACGCCAAGGCCAAGCTCTGAGCAGGAGCTGCAATCCTTGGCACCAAGGTTTGCTCACTGAGACACACGGAAGCTCTGCCCGTGGGAAAAGGCGTGGGGATGAGAACAGATAAATCTGTTCATATCAGCAGACACTTATTTTTGTCCTTGTTTGGGCTTGCACCGATTTGTTAGATAAGTGACAATAGCAACTGTGTCAATTAGTACAGGAAGTGGTGGCACCAAACGAGCCAAGGCTTCCAAAAATGGTTTTTAGGAATCACAGAGAACATTTCCCTCACCCATCCACCTGGGCAGGAAAGCCAGAACAGCCCTGTTTCACCCACCCCCTGTGTTTCACTCCTGTCCTCATCTCACCGTGCAGATCTGCCCTCTTTCCTTTGCTTTCCTGTGCAAACCAAAGCACCAAACCTGGGTCTGTGGAGAAAACCAGATTTGAGGCTTGGATGATCTCCAGTGTCCCTTCCAACCCAAACCATTCTGGGGTTCTAAACCCAAACCACCCAAACTGCAGAAAGCACTGAAGCAGACACTAAAGAACATCACTGAGTGCTGTTAACACTCAGTCCCAGAATGCCAGACTGCTTTGGGCTGGAAGGGACATTGAAACCCACCTGTGCCACCCTCTCAGGGAAGAATCTCATCCTGAAATTTAATCTAAACCTCCTCTCTGTCAGTTTGAATTCATTCCCCTTTTTCCTGTCTCTCCATGCTCTTGAAATGCCTCGAGTGCTCTCTGTGAATCGGTGCTGGTACATTTGAAAGGCCAGAATTCCAGCTGGCATCTATAAAAAACTTATTCCAAAGTATTCTGGTGCTGCACAGCGTGGTGCTGCAAGGAAAGACCCCGGCAAATCCAGCATCAGCTCTTTCAAAGAGCCATAAAGAACCAGAGCAGCTCCTCTGACACTGCCTTATCTTCCCTCATTTATCTCGGAGCCGGAGAGCCCCGGGATTACACAACGGGGCTGAAAGAGAACTTGCAGAATGATTTGCAGCTCGTAGCTGTGGCACAGGTGAGGTGACCTCTGCCCCTTACAGAGCCCACGTTGTGTAAGAGTTTTCCTCCCAGTCGCTGTCTCAGAGCAGATGGAAATTTCCAGGGATCCTCAGGCGGGCTGAGCGTTGCCTGCTGCAGAGCAGGGATGGATTTGTGTCAGTCCTGCAGCCCAGGCTGGTGTTTGAGCTGGGAAAATCACCACCCGAGCAGGATGAAGCCTTCCAGACCTTCATTCTGCTATTTCACATTCTTAATTCTGGTGCTTGGCATTAAAATCCACCAAGATCCCACAGAAGGGGTGGATGCTCCTGGTCCCACACAGCCCTGCAATGACCTGGCCCTGGCTGTCCTGCCAGCCCACCCACATTTCCATCCTCAATAACCACATCCTCCCGTGCCCCAGCAGCCCAGGTACCTGAAAAAAAACTAAAAACATGGAATGGGGAGCTGGTCACTCAGCAGAGGGGCTGAAATACCATGCACTGAGCCAACCACTGCTTTTCCTTCAGCTCCTAAAATGAAATGGTTTGAGTTGAATAATTTAATTTCCTGGAAGGCAACTGCTTGTATCCACGAGCGGAGAGCGAGCAGGCAATGCTCAGGGATGGGGAACGTGGATGAACACAGCGCAGGGCAGGGCCATCACCAGAGCAAGGCTGCACAGGCAGCAGTGAATGAGGGCAGGCAGGAGGAGCTCCTGGCTCCTGGAGGAGCAGGCAGTGGCAGGCAGCTCCCAGGCAGGGAGCCCTGCCTGACTCTGCCAGGGACACAGGACCAGCCTCCTCCTGAGCAAAGCTTCCCCTTCCATTCCCCGTTCTGGGAGCCCGTCCTGAGCACGGCTCCTCTCCAGCCTCTCTGGGCACAATCCTTCCCTGGCAGGGAGGGCAGGCCCTGGCACAGGTGCCCAGAGCAGCTGGGGCTGCCCCTGGATCCCTGGCAGTGCCCAGGGCAGAGTTTGGAGCAGCCTGGGGCAGTGGAAAGTGTCCCTGCCATGGCAGGGGTGGCACTGGAGGGGCTTTAAAGGCTCCTTCCAGTCTGAAGCATTCTGCGACTCCCAGAGATGAATTTTGTTGCCCCATCAGCAGCAATCCCCCAGGAAAAAGGCCAGGCTGGAGCAGGAGGGAGAGGCAGAGATGCAGGGCACGTGCAGGGGTCACACATCCCAGCAGCAGCACCAGGCAGAGAACTGGAGCCTCTCCTGCCTGCAAAAGCTTCCTGAGCCAGCAGCACCCTGCACACCCAAACATGCCCGAGAGGGGTGAAGGATTTATTGATCTGTTCCAGCCAGCACAACCCTGAGCCCGGGCTGCCCACCCTGTCCTCCCCCAGCTGCCAGGGACCCACGTTCCTTCAGTGCTGCTGGAACCCTGGAGCACAAGGTGACCCAATTTCCCCAGCGCTGCTGGCAGCACCCAGGAGACGCTGCCAGAGCTTTGGCAGCAGCGATTCCCCTTCTCCCAGCTGGATGCTGAGGAGCTGGGAGGGGAAAGGCAGGCTGCAGCAGGGCAGGGGCACCGTGCTGCCTGCCATCCCAGGGCAGCAGGGATGCTCCAGGGCTGCAAATTACACAGGCACCCAAAATAGAGCTGATGAGCAGCACCAGGATCTGCCTCGCGCTAGCTGAGCCATTATTCCCAAACACAAAGGGATGGAATCATGACAAAAAAGACACAAAAGACTGATGGAGCCCAGGACATCCCTGCAGTGAGCTGCTCTCCAAGCCTCTGAGATGAAAAATGCACCAGCTCAGGGGGTGTTCCCAGGGGGAAGCAGCTCCAAAAGAACAGATTTGGATGTTCCAGGGCAGGTACAACCCCAGCTTGGCTCCCACTCACAGAGATGCTGCAGGAGGCTCAGGGAACACCGTGCCAAAGGGGGTCTGGCCAAAATGAAATTGATAGTAGAGATGGGCTATCATGCAAGCCTGAATTCCTCACTTAATTCCCAAGAAAGAGCAGGACAGGGGTGGTGCCTCTGGGCATTAGGGACTGCTCAGGAAGGCCCTGCAGTGCAGAGGGGCTGTGGGGCAGTGCTGGCTGCTGGGTTCGTTTTTAATCCCTGAAGGAAAGGTCATTTCACAGGTCCCAGAATGGGCTGAAGGCACCTCAGAGCCCACCCAGTGCCACCCCTGCCATGGCAGGGACACCTTCCCCTGCCCCAGGCTGCTCCAAGCCCTGGGGCACTGCCAGGGATCCAGGGGCAGCCACAGCTGCTCTGGGCCTGCCAGCAACTGCTCCAAAAATACTCCTGGTGAGGCATTGGGGGAGAGGAAAAATGACACTAAACCACTAAACCAGATAGAAACCAGTCGTTTCTAGCAAGGAAGACAGGAGACAAATTATAAATACTAAACATTTATTATTTTTCTCATAGGAAGGTTGCAAGATTCAATTTCAAACAACAGGACAAGGACTTTCATTGCTGTTGGGATTTTGTTTCGCTTCTTTTAAGGGGAAAGAGAGGAGGAACTGGTGTAAAGATACTACCAGAAGCAGTGCAAATCGAGATTAATTTCTTTCTTCAGCATGCCAGTGCTGAAACCACAAGCCAAGCCCTTCCTAGTTAAATCAAGTCCATTTTCCAGTTTCTTGTACATCACTGAACACAGTCAGGGCCCTCCTTCTCCTCCACCCCCCTCCAGGAACTCCCAGCAGGGCAGTGAAGCCTGGAGGAGCCAACACGGTGACACTTCACCAAAATGAGACCTGAACAGAACAGAAATGCACAGAATTCCTCCTGCTCAGCCAGACCTGCTGCAGCTCCCCAGCTGCCTGTCACAAACACGGGTTACACAGCCACAAACACACACGAGAGGGAAATCAAAGAACCCAAAAACACCTGACTTTTCAGTTTTCAGCTAAGGAAGGCAAGCTTTGAACAGGAGTTACTGACACCTTGTGCAAGTCCGCCGTTGAACAGCTGGGCACGGGAGGCAAGTCCTGCTCACAGGAAATGTTCCTTGGATCAGCAGAGGCAGCAGGCCTGTCCCCAGCAGCAGCACCAGCAGTGTCCCAGCCACAGCCCGGGGCTGCCACGTGCAAATCCCATCCTCTGCATGCCCTGGCCCCAGCCCTGAGCTCCCCAGGGCTCCCTCAGAAGTCGATGTCTGCCAGACCTGTGGGAAGGCAAGAAAGGAGGGTTTGTTCTTACCCTCACTGCACCAGGGTCCTTACAGACAGCAGGGAAGATGCTTTCAGAGTTACTTCAGTTTTTTTAAACTTAAACATGAAGGATTTGGCATGAGGAAAGCAGGAAACAAGATTGGGC